TAAGTGTACCTCTTATGCAGAGATTGTAGACAGAGGTGTGTACTATTTCAAAGGTAAGATATCATGTTTTTGAGGCTTAACAATCTGATATTTAGAAGGGTGAGAGATGCGCAAAGTGATGATTGTGATAACTTTAATCAGAATATACCAGTTTGCCTGATATATGTATATGTGTAGTCCATTTTAGTTTGTTGTTGCTGTTATTATTAATGATACCATAACAAATCAAATCAGCTCCCTTAGAGGAAAGTAGGTTTTGACTAGAAGGAGAGAACTAGAGTGATTTAAGTAGCATCTAAGCACTGTAGGAAGATCTGAGAGGGGTGGTCAGTGGGGGAATTCAGACCTGTGAAAGTGAGTGGGAATAGGGTGCAGAAAATGGGATGGAAGACACCTGAAGAATCTGACCCACTGAAATGAAGGTTCAGCCCTGGGTACTATTCTGGTCCCTCAGGTAGCCAATGCCAAATTTAGAGAAAAACAGAGATCTGACACCTGCTCATTCTGGACACACTAGATACGAGTGTTCTTCCCATGGGCACAAGATGTCAGCCACTTTGCTTTGTGTTAGGCTTGAGTTTTATTGTTTCTTCTTCTTGCTGAAATATCAGGGTAGGAGTCTACAGTTCAAGAAAAAGTCAGGGTTTGCGGATCTGGGAGCTTACTTTGTGAATTTCTCCCTTCTGGTTCTCAGTTGATGAGACAACAGGAAAGTGCTGCACATTGCACTTCCTGTCAGGGGCTCCCTCACACACAATTCAGTGTCATCAGATTTTCTGTGGGTGATGGGGTGTCTTTCCAATACCTTTTTTCTGTCAGTCTAATTATGCAAGGTCAGATATGTGGTTACCCTAACCACCTTTATAGATGGGCAACCAGATAATTTATTGTATAAAGAAGATAATTGTGAAGATGAAGTAGGCATTATTAACACTTACACAAGTACAGCATGAATAAATTGTGATGACCTCAGGGAAAGAGAACCATATGGTTACCCTATTTATAAAATGCAATAGTTCCCCAATTCCCTCAGGATAAAGCCCTAACTTCTACATATAGCCTATAAAATTTCTTTATCTCAGGCCAACTTATCTATCTCTCTGTCCATAATTGCACTCTGTAATTGCCTAGAGTTAAGAAAATACACTAAACTCTCATTGTTCAGGACCTTTCTTCTACGAAAAAGATGTTACCTCTTACCCTCTCTCCACACAAGCACCAACTCAACTTTCATTTCCCATCTTAAGGTGTACTCACTTACCCTATGATGCATTTTTGTGACCCTTTCTAGGTAGAATTAACTATTTCCTTCTGTTGTTCTACCACTGGAATAAAGAGGGGATGGGGAGTATACATATGCACAAATTCATGTATTTATATTCATTAGACTTTGTTTCTTTGTATCTGTTTTTTGTTAATTGCCTCAGTGCTAGGGACAAGGATGAAAGTGTATCATTTATCCTTTTTTTATCTTTCAAAGTGTATTGCATGTGAATTAACACTCCCTGCAAGTATGAGTATTTTTTAAATACTTGAATTATGCTCAAGATATTTTCAAGGGTCCTGAAAATTTTCATATATCTAGCCAACTAGTAAAACATTATGACCGTGATTCAATTATTCTGTACATTTTATTTATCTTGATTTGAATTGCTAACAGTTCCATGTTTTTGTATCTATGTTCATGAGTGATAATTTCCTATAATATTTCTTGGAATGTCCTTGCCAGGCTTTGATATTAAGGCCATACTGAACCCTCTAAGTGAATTGGGAAGTATTTCTTACTGTTACATTTTGCGTAAGAGTTGGGCTAAAATTGTTCTTTCTTACTTAAATGTTGGTTGTAGTCTCACATATCATAGGTAGTATTCCCCAGAAGCAGATTCTTAGACAAAGGGACATGTGCCAGTAATTTCTTAAGGAAAGCTCTCAGAAAATCTGTAAGGTAACATAGGAAATAGGAAGATGAAAGTGATGAAGTCATGTGAGTATATGGAGTCAGGCAAGGAGCCTCAGAATATAGATTCAGTCTGACTGGAGTGTAGGTCACACATCAGAGACGTCTAGACCCCAGCCAGCAGGGCTAGGGGTTCTATATTACTTTACTTGACAAAATAGAGTTACAGCCTGGGTGGTGGTGGTTGTGGTATGAATTTTAGGGCACTCTGTTTATACACAATGTGTGGACAAAGTGTGCTGGTGTAGTATCCAGGAAAGTTTTCAAAATGAGTCACAGGTGGATGGATGTCTGAAATAAAGTATACCAAAGCCAGGATACACAAAAAAATAGTTTAAAAGATATCTAAGAAGACTTACATTATCCACTACTATCCACGTATTGCACTGCACTGTACAGCTCACTTATATCTCATGTTAAATTTATTCTCTTCAGTCATGGATTATTCAAAATGGTAGGTGGTGTGGCCAACTAGTGTGTCCACCAATTATACTTGCCTCATGTTATTTCTGCATTGTGGAGTCCTTTTTTAAATTGAGTAAAGGCTGGCCTATGTTACAACAGAATACAATTGAAGTGACAGTGCATAACTTATGAGGCTAGGTCACAAAATTTTAAAAATATCATAGGTTACTTGAGGGACCAAGACCATGCGCAGGGATAAGTAGAGCAGTACTGCAAAGTGGATCAAATTCTTCAGAGGTCCCCCAACTCATTTTCTGTACTTTCTCCCCTGCTTACTTCTAAGGGTCTGAATTTCCTCAGTGACCACCATTTTCTTTGTTACGGATACTTTTGGTGTCATATCTAAGAATTCTCTGCCAAATATGAATTTATAAAGATCTACTTCTGTTTTCTACTAAGAGTTTTACAGTTATGGCTTTTACATTTAGGTCTTTGATCCATTTGGGGTAACTTTTTGTATATTGTGTGAGTTAAAGAATCAAATTTATTCTTTTGCAGGTGGCTATCCAGTTGTCCCAGCACCATATGTTGAAAAGATTATTTTCCCCACCATTGAATGGTCTTGGCATCCTTCCCCAAAATCAGTTAACTATAGATATGTAGGTTTATTTCCAGACACTCAATTCTATTCTGTTGATTTATATGAGTATCCATATGCCTGTACTACACCAACTTGATTACTGTTACTTTGTAGTAAGCCTTGAATTTGGGAAATTTGAGTCCTTCAATTGTGTTTGTCTTTTTCAAGATTCTTCGGTTATTCTGGGTTTCTTGTAGTTTCATATGAATTTGAAAATTAGCTTGTCACTTTCAACAAAGAAGTAAATTGGTATTCTAACAGGAACTTCATTGAATCTGCCGATCAATTTGAGGAGTAGTGCCATCTTAACAATATTAAGTCTTTCAATTCATAAATACACAATGTCTTTCCATTTATTTAGAACTTCTTTAATTTCCCTTAACAATGTTTTGTAGTTTTCAGAGCACAAGTTTTGCAATTACTTTTATTCCTAAATATTTTATTATATCTGATGCCATTGTAGATGGAATTGTTTTCTTAATTTCAGTTTGGACTGTTCATTGGAATAGTGTAAAATAGATTTGACTTTATATAATGATCTTGTTTCTATAATATTGCTTAAATTGTTTATTAGATCTAAAAGTTTTTATTAGAATCCTTAGGGTTTCCTGTAAACAAGAGTGTGTTATCTATGGGCAGAGATGATAGTTTTATTTCTTCCTTTCCGAAGTATATGCCTTTTTTCTTCTTTTGCCCAATTATCCTGGCTAGAAGTTGTAACAATATTGTAACTTATAGAACATTTGTATACAGTTATGAACACTGTTTTAATGTCTTATTCTGCTAATTCTGACATTTGTGCCAGTCTGAACAGACTGTCTGTTGCTTGGTATGTAATATCATCCATCCACTTCCTGTTGTTTCCTTCAATAATATGATGTGCCCCCCACTCCAATGGTTTCTTTTAACATTTGTATTAGTTTCTATTGCTGTATAATAAGTTACCACAAGCTTAATGGCATAAGACAATGCAAACATTATTTCACAATTCTGCAGGTCAGTAGTCTTGCATGGTATGGACGGGTTCAGCCTTTAAGGGTTTTGTACTGCCTAAGTCAAGATGTTGGTGAGAGCTATTAGCTTCTCTGAGCTCAGAGTCTTCTTCCAAGCTCTTTTAGGTTATGCTAGAATTTAGTTCTTTATGGTTGTAGGATTTAGGTGCCCATTTTTTGGCAGGCTGTTGCCTGGGAGCCACTCAACTTTCAGGGTCTGCCCACATTCCTTGACATTTGGACCTCAGGATTTTCAAGCTAGCATTTGAACTTTTGAGGTCAGCTGCTTGAAACCTTAATTACATCTACAAAATTCCTTCATAGCAATACTTGGATTAGTATTTGATTAAATAACGAGGATATGGTGTTTGTCCACAGTGACTGAAAATCTTCGGTGGTCATCTTAGAATTCCAATTACAAGATTTTTTGTCTTTATCTTTGATTTTCAGCAGTTATAACTATGATGTGCCAATGTGTGGTTTCCTTTGTATTTACACTATTTTCAGTTCACTGAGCTGTTTGAATTGTAGGCTCATGTTTTTCATCAATTTTAGAAATTTCTCATCAAATGTCTCTTCCAATACACTTCTTCCCCATTTTTTCTTTCCTGTCCTTTTGGGAATCTTATCAAACATACATTAGACCATTTGATATTGTACACATGCATAATTTCTATTGGTATATCTTCAAGTTCATGTCTTCTTAAGTCCACTCAATGAATCCTAATTTCTGACATTATATCTTTTAATACTATAAGGACTGTTTATATTCTTAGAATTTACTTTTCTATGATGAATTCAACATTTTTATACATTTCCCCATCTTTTCTAATTTCTTTAACATATTTAAAATAGTTATTTGAACATCTTTTTACTGTTGTTGTTAATTCCAATATCTGAGTTATCTATGTATGGGTATGCTTTATTGCATTGTGTGTGTGTATGTATATGTATACTAGACATCATGGTTAGAAGTATCTTTGAAACTGAAGTAATTTTTATTTTTTACAAGGAAAGGAAACATCCTTACCTATATTTTGTAGCAAGTGTGAGGACTGATTATTTCAAACCAATTAGGGATTGATATGAGTTGTGGCTATGTAGCATTATTAATTAGTTTTAATTCACATCTGATTTCTACAATTTTGAGATTAAGCTCTGTCCTATGTGCTTGGCAGACAATTCCCTCCAGCAGAAATTTGGTATATAAGCACTGGAAATATTGGGAAATATCTGTCTGCTTTCAACCTGGTTACCAGCCTCCCTCACCAGCACACCCATTAGGAGAAAAATAATCAACCAAGGAAAAATATTTCTGCATTTGAAGCTCTTCCAGATCTCAATCAAGTGTATAAACTCATGTCTTCATCAAGAGTCCTTTTGTTAACATAAGAACTTAGATTTCAAAATGCAGAAGGTAGGAAGAATTTGTCATTTTTTCTATTTTCTGACAGTATATTCTCTCCTTGAGAAATTAAGAGAAAAAGAGCTAGCCATCTAGATGGGGAGAAGGGCGGGGCCGGTGAGATTCCACGTAAGGCAGAGAAGATGGGGAAGAAAGAACGTGCAAAACTAGACTGATATTTCAAAAATGTTGATTTTTCCCATTATGCTTTTCCATATGTTGGACTGTTCATATTTAGCTTATTTTCAACCTTCTTATCCTCTCACCCACATGGTTCTTATTCATGTCCTTGATTCCTGTCAGTCTGGCGCTTACATAATAAAACAAGGTTGTAGTAAGAAATTATGACATAGGGATAATATAGCAATTACAGTAATGGTAATAACTTCTGTTGCAAAATGAATAGAGAAACAGGAGAGGCCCCAAATAAACTATTCTATGACAAAATTTCCAAAAATGGTCTTAAGGAAAATGGAAATTAGAAAGATAGCTAGAAAAAGCTCCATGAAGGAAAGAACAAATGTCAGGTTTTGCTCAATTTTGTTACTATCTTGCCCAAAACTGAGTTCAGCATATGTAAGGCATGCAATAAATATTTGCTTAATGAATACATAGTTTTTGCACTACTCAACTGTATAGATTGAATATTTGCACATTTAACATAAGTAAACACTTTATAAATATTTCTGGGCTGGATGAATTAACTCTGGAAAACTTGGACAAGAATATCAGGTTCCTTTCTCCTTATCTGAAGTTCAGATGATGACAGTGGATTTTAATTTTGTTAATAATCTATGCTAAAGGCATTAGGCTTGAGGCTGATTAACTATTACCTGACAGGTTTTTTTTTTTTAGCCCCTTCACACTAATATTTGCAAAATACTGATGTGAGAAACAGATTCCATGGTTTGTCTTGTGCTCTGCTTAGACTCCTAATAAACTTTATTGTGCTGAGATAATGACAAGTGTCACAGGGTGAAAGAACTTCTACCAGCATTTTAAATCATCTGCTATTCTGTCAGCATATTTGATGAGATATATGGTGAATTGTATTTCAGACAGAGTGTGTAGTTGTTGAACTAGTTGCTACAGTCACTGTTAATCTTGGAACTGAAATGTCAGTATTGCTAAAATGGCCCTATTATTTGAGTTTGTCATCTACCTTTGTCCTACTACTTAGCATTTCAATATATATTGGGTGCCATTAAATCATCACTATACAGAGGTTGTGAAAAGAATATCATGGGGTACAAAACTCTGTGCTTTGGACTGACTTGTATTCTCTTTGCTTATTTTATTTATGTACCAATACCAGAAAACATTGATGAACCATGGAAAGTAAGGATCGTGGATGCTGTTATAAAAACAACTTCACTTACGGTAATTTTTTTTTCCAGGAAATTGGGATGCCTTGTTACAAGTACATGTAAACTTTCTTTCAATTAGCATTTTGAAAGATTTTTTGATTTTCTTTTAGGGTAAATCAGACAAATATTTTTAACTGTTTATATTAATAAATCATTATGAAACCTACTTGAATCTGCATAAAGTAGGGGGAAATAAAATTTTTGCTGATAAGATAAATACAAATTATGTTGTGACAAGAATAAAAGGAATGATATTGTTTAAGTGGAAAATTTGGAGGATTTTTAAATAACTTATATTTGACATTGTGAGAAAACCTAGTCCCATACATTCTCTTAAAACTTACAAATGTATATTGATTATATTTTTATATTTTGATGTATATTTGGCACCTATACTTTTTTAAAAAATAATAAACTATTTTTATTGTATTGTTATTATAGTTAAAATTAAGTAGATGCTTGTTTGTGCCACTACAGCAAGCACTTGTGACGTTCATGTTCTCATTTAACCTTTTTTTAATTCTTATATTTTATTGAAGAGTAGTCGATTTACAGTGTTAGTTTCAGCTGTACAGCAAAGGGATTCTGTTATACATATACATATGTATTTTTTCTTTTCAGATTCTTTTCCATTATATGTTATTATAAGAAATTGAGTATTGTTCCCTCTGCTATACAGTAAATCCTTTTTGTTTATCTATTTTATATATAGTAACATATATCTGTTAATCCCAAACTCCTAATCTATCTCTCCCCTGCCCCACTTTCCCCTCTGGTAACCAGTTTGTTTTCTATATCTGAGAGACTATTTCTGGTTTGTAAATAAAATTAGTATTTTTTTCTAGATTCCACATATAATTGAGATCATATATATATATATATATATATATATCTTTCTCTGACTCATTTCGCTTAATGTGATAATCTCTAGGTCTATCCATATTGCTGCAAATGGCATTATTTCATTCTTTTCTTGGCTGAGTAATATTCCATTGTGTGTGTGTGTGTGTGTGTGTGTGTGTGTGTGTATGTGTGTATACACATATACACACATCTTCTTTATTTGTCATTTGTGAATGGACATTTAAGTTGCTTCCATGTTTTGGCTATTGTAAATAGTGCTGCTATGAACATTGGGGTGCATGTGTCTTCTTGAATTACAGTTTCCTCTGGGTGTATACCCAGGAGTAAGATTGCTGGATCATATGATAAGTCTATTTTTAGTTTTTTAAGAAACCTCCATAGTGTTCTCCATAGTGGCTGCACCAATTTACATTCCTATCAACAGTGTAGTAGGGTTTCTTTTTCTCCACACTCTCTCCAGCATTTATTATTTATAGACTTTTTAATGATGGACATCCTAGCTGGTAAGAGGTGATAACCTCATTGTAGTCTATTTGCATTGCTCTAATAATTAGCAAAATCGAGCATCTTTTTAATGTGCCTGTTGTCCATCTGGATGTCTTTTCTGAAGAAATGTCTATTTAGGTCTTCTGCTCACTTTTTGGTTGCTTGCTTGTTTGTTTGTTTGTTTGTTTCTTTTTTGATATTAAGCTGTATAAGCTGTTTGTATACTTTGGAAATTAGTCCCTTGTCAGTCACATCATTCACAAATATTTTGTCACGTTCTGTCTTTTTGTTCTGTTGATGGTATTCTTAGCTGTGCAAACTCTTTTAAGATTAATTAGGTCCTATTTGTTTATTTTTGCTTTTGTTTCTATTACTTGAGGATCTGGTTCAAAAAAAATATTGCTGCAATTTATGTCAAAGTGTGTTCTGCCTATGTTTTCCTCTAGGAGTTTTATACTATCCAGTCTTACATTTAGGTTGTCCTTTTTGTTGGCATGTAGTTGTTCATAGTAGCCTCTTATGATCCCTTGTATTTCTGTGGTGTCAATTGTAACTTCTCCTTTTTCACTTCTGATTTTATTAATTTGGGCCCTCTCCCTTTTTTCTTGATGAATCTGGCTAAAGGTTTATCAACTTTGTTTATTTTTTCAAAGAACCAGCTTTTAGTTTCATTGATCTTTTTAAAATTATTTTTCAGTCTCTATTTCATTTATTTCTGCCCTAATCTGATTTCTTCTACCAACTTTGAGTTTTGTTTGTTCTTTCTCTAATTGCTTCAGTATAGGGTTAGGGTGCTTGTTTGAGATTGTTTCCTGAGGTAAGCTTCTATTGTTGTAAACTTCCCTGTTAGAGCTGCTTTTGCAGTGTCTCGGAGGATCATCGTGTTTTCATTTTCATTTATCTCTAAGTATTTTTTGGTTTCCTTTTTGATTTCTTTGGTGATCCATTGATTGTTTAGTAGCACATTGTTTAGCCTCTACATGTTTGTGGTTTTTGCAGTTTTTTCTTGTAGCTGATTTCTAATCTCATAACATTGTGATCAGAAAAGGCACTTGATATGATTTCAATTTTCTTAAATTCACTGAGACTTGCTTTGTGGGCCAGCATGTGGTCTATCCAGGAGAATGTTCCATGTGCCTTTGAGAAGAGTATGTATTCTGCTGCTTTTTGATAGAATGTTCTATAAATATCAATTAAAACCATCTGTTCCAATGGATCATTTAAGGCCTTTATTGCCTTACTGATTTTCTCTGTGGATGATCTGTCCATTGATGTAAGTGAAGTGTTAAGATCCCCCACTATTATTGTGTTATTGTCAATTTCTCCTCTTATGTCTGTTAATAGTTGCCTTATACATTGAGCTGCTGCTATATTGGGTGCATATATATTTACAGTTGTTACATCTTCTTGGATTGATCCCTTGAGCATCATGTAATGTCCTTCTTTGTCTCTTCATCCCCTCACTTTCAGTCTATATGTGTCCCTAGCTCTGAAGTGGGTCCCATGGAGACAGCAAATATATGGGTCTTGTTTTTGTATCACCAGTTTATGTCTTTTGGTTGGAGCATTTAATTCATTTACATTTAATGTAATTATCAATACATTTAGCAGTCACTTGTAGTTTTGTTGTGATTATGAGAGAAGGAGAGTTTGTGGTCCTACTACTCGACCATCTTGACTGGAAATTCCTCAGTACCTACACAGTTTTAATGTCTTTCTCTTTCTTGGTCATTTTCAAATTTTTGGGTCTCAGGAACTCTTTATACTCTTTAAATTATTGAGACCTCAAAGAGCTTTTCTATGTAGACTATATTTATTAATATTTACTGCATTAGATACTGACCTCATTAGAAAATAATTCACTTAATGATGATGATAAACCTATTAAAAGTTAACATAAATAAGATAGTGGCAGTTTTCCATTTTTGCAAATCTCTTTTATGTCTCACTTTATGAAAGATAGCTGGATTCTCTTATCTGCTTTTGCATTTAATCTGTTGCAATATCATTTGTCCTGTAGCCTCTGGAAAACTCCAGTGCATACTCATGAGGGAATCAGAGTGAAAAAAGGAGGCAGGAAGTGTCACGGTATTATGCATACTCCCTGACTATGTCTCAGAGACTCACAAGAATTCCAAGATCATACTTAGAAAACCACTGCTTCTGTCTTCAATCCTAAATCGCTGAATTTTAGAATTTTTTTCTGTGACAATGCCAGAATTTGAACAAAGATCTACCTCACTGAAAATATCATGCTCTCCTGTCAGAACCTGCTGCTATCTGGAGGCCTTATGGATGATATGGACAGCAGAAAGTTTTAGGGAGAATATATCAACAGGCAATAAATGATCAGAGAATAGAGGGCAATGCACAGTGTATGGTAAGTGGCTGCCTTGTGTGCTACCCAGAAGAGATGACAGATCTGTCAAACTAGACATCCAGGGTATCTCCTGCCCAAAGTCCAATGTTTGCCAAATCACTGCTTGCCCCTAGTTTTTCCTTTTATTGTCAGTGCTTTACATTTTCATTCACTGGACTGTAGATGAGCAAAAAAAAAAAAAGGCAAGTGCAGCCCTACAGAGGAACTGCTGTGTTATTTCATTCTTCTGAAGGCAATTATCCAGTTTTCCCAGCACCATTTGTTTATTTGTTTGTTTGTTTGTTTATAGTATATACCTAGGATAAACTCTTCCACAGGTGCACAAGGAACCACATATTGGCATGTTCATTGTGGCTTCTTTTTTAATTATTATTGTATAATTTAATTATTTAATTTTGTTTTATTTGGGGGGGTAATTAGGTTTATTTATTTTTAGAGGACGTACTGGGGATTGAACCTAGGACTTCATGCATGCTAAACATGCACTCTACCATTTGAGCTATACCCTCTCCTACTCCAGCACAATTTATTGAAGGGACTATTCTTTCCCATTGCATCTCTTGGCTCCCTTATCAAATGTATGTTGAACATTTATGAGTGGGTTTATTACTGAGCCCTTGGTTTGGTTCCATTGGTCTATGCCTCTATATTTTGCCAGTATCATACTGACTTGTTACTATATCTTTGTAATAAAGTTTGAAACTGGGAATTGTGATGCCTACAGATTTTTTTCTTTGTTCTTTAGATTGATTTGGCTATTAGAGGTGTTTGTGGTTTCACACAAATTTTAGAATGTTTCTTCTTTTCTGTGCAAAAACCACTGGACTTTTGATAGGGGTTGCATTGAATCTATAGATGGCTTTGGATAGGATGGCATTTTAACAATATTAATTCTTCTAATCCATGACCATGAGAACTCTTTCCATTTATTTGTATCTTCTTCAGTTTCTTTCATCAATGGCTTGTAGTTTTATAGATCTTTCACCTACTTGGTTTCATTTATTCCTAAGCATTTAATTCATTTTGATGCCATAGAAAATATCCTTGAAATTCAGAGTAACAAATGCTTATTTTTTACTCTGCTTCATCAATGTTAGTACATTCTGAAAAAATGCAACTGTAGAATTCAACTTCTACTTTATCAAATGCAAAATAGAATTAAAATGCTGCACTTTACCTATTTGCTTATATATGGATTATATACCTGCAAATTATGCTAATAATCGATCAGTTTCTATGTGTTCAAGTGATAATCATTTTGTTACTGTCATGAGTGATTTTTT